TTTTTAATACTTTCTATATTTTCCAAAGCCAGAGGAATTGAAAGAACTTTTGTATACTATGCATTTCATTTTTAAACAATCCCAGACCACTTGGAAACACACTTCATGTGGGAAATTGGATGGACTAATCTAATTCTCATTTCTTTTCATTTTCATCCTCTTTCTGTGCTTTCCTTGTGTAAGGATGGCAGATATGTTGTTGAATTTCTAAATGTTTGGTCACAGGAAAGGACCTTGGCTTAGGATTTAGGAAGTTTGGGTTCTAGTTCTGCCTCTGAAGTTCAAGGCACTGAATAACAGCGTATAGTAACTCTTAATACTGTTTTTGCCACATTAATTTATTGTAAGTAAAAGATCAAATATGTGCAAAGCACTTCACAAAAAAATTTCTCTGGGGGTCAGAAATCATAATAGCTACAGTGGACAGTTGGAACCAGAACTAAAGCAAAATAATTTTGGGCTTGTTGTTGTGTGAGGACCGGCTTAAGGTAATTAGAATTTGGACATCTTGTTATATCCTTTGGCTTGGCCTAAGCAAAGTGCCAAACTAGGATTATTGTGGCTAGATGACCAAATTGCTATCTGAGTTATTTTGTAGTGACAGGTTAATTCTTAAAGGACTATATTGTATTCATTAATTAGGTCTAAACTAAGGAATGTTTTGCTCTCTGAACTTTGCAGAAGGAGACAGAAGAATGGGAAAGAAAACTGGATTGGGAACGCTAGCCTATTGTAGTGGACGGGAAGAGGAGAGATTGTTGGGCGGAAATGGGACCTAATGGAGCCTTTCAGAAACATCCTGAGAATTGAATTATGGGTAAACTGTATTATTAGAGTCAGCTGTGGAGGGTCACCTGTGCTTCTGCCATATTGAAAATGCCATGCTCTTTCTTGAACTGGGCCAAGTGCAACTTAAATATTTAAGTGAGTGGCCATTGTTTTACTCAGCATTCCCAGTACTTCCCAAAGTTCAGTCATTAGGGCATCACTTTCAACAAATTTTGCTTTATTCGTTTGCTTAAAAAAACACACACAAACCACAAACTAATACTTAAATGTATCTGAAACAAGAACTTTATGTATCTGTTGAAATTTCAGGTTTGTTGTGCTATAGTTTTTGCTAATGAAATAAGTGGGTCAGATTAGCATAAGACCAGTCCATCTGTAGTCCACATGAAATTATCTTGAGGAATGTTCCTTTCACCTAATTTTAGCTCTTCTCTTTACAGAGCGGGCCCTCAGGATGCCAGGATAGAGGTCAAAGGGAAAACCCAAAGACTGGACATAGGAGGTTTTTCATGGAATTTCCTGGATCAATGTAAGCTGGTAGATGGGAAGTAGGTTTCCCTGTAGGTTATCCGACTAAAGCAAGTTTGAGTTAGACTTTAAGTAGGCTTAATTTCTTCCTTTTTTTTTTTTTTTTTTCTTTGCCAAAAACCAACCATCACCCCACAATACTTTCTAGGCTGCAGGAGTTTCGAGATCTTGTGTTTCCCTCCGTGGGTTTCCTAGCTGACTTTCCTTCTGAAAAGTTCTAAACTTGGGCTGGCTTCCAATAAGAGGAACTAAGCTTTCTTCTTGTTGATCTTAGCGATGCTCTCTGCTCTGCCAGCTCCCAGCCCAGGAGTGAGCTCCGTTCAGCCAGAGTTTACGAGCTGCCTTTTCTGTCAGGCACGTGCTAAGCCCTGGGATGCTCCCGTGAAGCGCAGCATATGCACAGCCCAAACAGCCCACCCCATTCCGGCTGCGTGCCAGACACAGCAGACACCGGCTTTTTGGGTAGAGGAATGAAGGCCTTCAAAGCAGGAGAGCTCTGGGGCCCAGCACGTGGAATGTGATACAAGGGGGGTGGCACACAGTTTATGCCGCGGTGAACGCTGTGGGATTTTTCCTCCCCAGGCAGCCTCCATCGAAGATCATTCTGCAGGATTTCTGTGGGCCCTGCATTGGCCCACACGGAATTCTAGCAAGAATGAACGTTTCACATGTGTGGTAACGCACGGCCTCGCTGCCCTGACACTCTCACGTGGATGTGAAGTAGTAACGAGGGAGCCTTCGGTTGGCATATTGAGATGGCACCATTCCCAAAACAACATCTTAATGAGGCTCTGTGCCTCAGAAGCAGCTCTTCTTGTTTAAATAGACTCTGGCACAGCCGGCCCAGCGGGAAGCAATGTGGCAGGAGGGGCTGGGCTCAGAGTGTGAGTCTCAGATTGTGAGGGGCTGTCTGGAGCAGCCTTGACTATGTCCGTGACCTTGACTATGTCAGTGACCCCAGGGGGATTCGATGCCTAAGGAAGGTGAAAAGGCATAAAACCAATCAGCCTTAAGCCCCTTTAGGGAATGTTTGTACAGAATCTGAAATAGTGGATTTCTAGTCTACACACGGCTATTACCCTACCCACCCCTCCAGCCCAAGCCATCCCCTACTGGAACTTGAGCTGCACATACACCAGTAGCAGCCAGATCTTCAGTTCTGTGCATGTAGGGGTCAGTTAAAGGAGAAACTTCTCACCCGTCCTCACTCTGGGTGCCTAAAACCCCCACAGTGTTAATTGTATTGATGCCTGCATTCAACCTCAGACTCTTGGGGATTTAATATATACAGGCTTTTACGAAAATCGTTAGCATGATTGTTCTCTGAAAAGAGTATGAAATAAACTTGGGCCGAAACCGGTTTGGTTCAATGGATAGAGCGTGGGCCTGCGGACTGAAAGATCCCGGGTTCGATTCCGGTCAAGGGCATGTACCTTGGTTGCGGGCACATCCCCAGTGGGGGGTGTGCAAGAGGCAGCTGGTCGATGATTCTCTCTCATCAATAGTTTCTAACTCTATCCCTCTCTCTTCCTCTCTGTAAAAAATCAATAATATATATATATATATTTTTTTTTAAAGTAAGAAATAAACTTGGATTTTGGGGAGTTGGGGGGGAGGGGGTACTGAGCATTGCTTCAGACCCAGCCACATCTCTGAGTTGCCAGAGAGCCACACCCCTCCGTAGACATAACCACAGGCCATTATTTCTTTTGGCCCAGGGCTCTGACCTTGAAGGATCCAGACAGCCGCCTTGAAGCTTTGGGTGCTAGACATAATATGGGCAGAGTCCTAGAGTTATTTCTATTTTATACATTTTATTTAGCATGGCTAATATTGATTTTTTTTTTTTATTCACCACAAATTCTACTCTTGAAGTAAATCTAAAACGCTTTACCACACCACTGCCCTTGATGTCGTTACTGTACATAAAGTCTAAAGCACATTCAGAAATGTAATCAGAAATAGAAAGAATGCTAGGACTTGGGGCAGCATCCACAGGGGGCGCCATAGTGCCCTTCTCCTGGAGAGTCAGCCAGTTGGGAATCTAGATTGGTCTCTGATGTGTGTGAAATCCTTGATGTCCTGTCTTCTGAATGTGACGGGACAGTTTTTCCCTGGAAAAATCGTTTCTCTTCAGCGGGGGAGGTTGATTTTTCTCCATCCGTTTTCCCCTTTAATAATTGAAAACTACTGCTCATTATTTACACAAAACTGTCTTTTACTGGTCTGCTTGCCATAACCTTTCCCCTCTGAAGAATTTTAAGAATTCCCTGACTTTGCTCTAGGGGCTGTAATGCGTGCTGTATCCCAGATGTGAGACATGGACTAAGACTGGCTGAGGTTCCTTTTTTTTTTTTTTTTTTTAATGTTCCTACATTTGAAAGACATTCTTTTAACCTGTGAGCAAAGCTGCCACTGGGGGGAAAAAAAGGGGGGGAAAAGGACTTTTAAGAACATTAAGTAGTTCAGTTTGGTTTAAAGGTCTGACTTACTGAATGGAACCAAAATCCCATATGCAAAATGAAAAAGTAGACAGTAGTTCCAAATAAGGGGGAAATGCACACGTGTGATTTTATCCGTTGGGTTCTGCGATCTCACTTTCTGAATGAAGATGTGCCAGCTTCCAGTCCCAGCAAGCCCGCCAGGCCTTGCCCTGCGTGCTTATGCTGTCAGCCCAGGGGGCGCGGGGCCCAGAAGACGGTTCCCCTGCCGTTGTCTCCTCTGGCCCACCTTCTGCTGACGCAAAGAGGATGTTTAGCTTTACTCATAATATTTGGCCTGCTTGCATTCTTAGTGATGTATTGACCCCAACCCCCAACTCAGAATAAAGAATGTAAGGGAGCAGGGAGAGGTTAGAGTGAAGGGGGTTCTGCTCAGAGAGACAGGATCTTGTTTTTTTCCTAATGTCCATTCAGATTCCCAGATGGCATCTCACCACCAGCTTTTGGTTAGTGTGGTGTTCATACTAGTGGCTAAAAAATAACCATAAAACCTAAACTTTTAGTGTGATAAAAATGTGACAAGAATGCCTACTTACGCAAGCATTATACTGCTTTCCCAAGTGCAGAATCTGTTTTTCACGGTGTGTACATGTGTGATGTATCATGCCTAATTAGTTAAATAACTAATTAATTAATTGTAAATTGTTAGGTTTCAGTAAGTGTCTTCCTCGTTCGAATTTTGTTGTATTAAAAAAAAATACCTAAATTCAAACAAGTTATTTTCAGTATTTAGACCTTTTCCTAGTGTGTTCACTACCTACCATATGCTTCTTTTTTTTTTTTTTAAATTTCTTTATTGATTAAGGTATCACATATTTGTCCTCAACCCCCTCATCCCTATCCCCTACACACACTCATGTCCCCACCCCCCTATTGTCCTTGACCACTGGTTAGGCTCGTATGTGTGCACATAAGTCCTTTGGTTGATCTCTCCCTTTTATCCCCACCCTCCCTCTGAGGTCCAACAGTCTGACCCAGGGCTCCTTATCTCTGGGTCTGTTCTTGCTCATCCGTCTATGTTGTTCACCATTCCCCCTAGATGGGTGAGATCATGTCCTACTGGAACTATACTAATAAGAATAAAAAATGAGACAAGCAATAATCGTTATGCTCAAAGGCATATGAATCAGTCTGTAATATTTCCTTGGTTGACCCGCCCTTCTTTTCTGTTTCCTCCCGCAGTATCTTTCGAAGATGGTCTGGCTGCCTCGGAGGCCTGGAGATCTGATGCCACGATGAGGACTCACACGCGGGGGGCCCCCAGTGTGTTTTTCATAGCTCTGCTCTGCTGCACGTCGGCCTACGTCACCGACGAGGACCCCGACGTCATGATCCCCTTCACCAACGCCAACTACGACAGCCACCCGATGCTGTACTTCTCCAGGGCCGAGGTGGCCGAGCTGCGGCTCCGGGCCGCCGGCTCCCACGGGCACATCGCCGCCCGCCTCGCCGAGGCCGTGCACACCATGCTGTCCAGCCCCCTGGACTACCTGCCCCCCTGGGACCCCAAGGACTTCAGCGCCCGCTGGAACGAGATTTACGGCAACAACCTGGGCGCCCTGGCGATGTTCTGCGTGCTGTACCCCGAGAACATCGAGGCCCGGGACATGGCCAAGGACTACATGGAGAGGATGGCAGCTCAGCCTAGTTGGTAGATTTTTGTCCTTTTCTTCTTCCTGTAGTAACTCTGAAATGTAAAGAAACGAATTTATACTCGGATGAAATCTCAAGGGGACAGATTTTCACATACGTGTGTGTGTGTGTGTGTGTGTGTGTGAAAGACTTACTTGTTACCTGTATTTTCTGGTGTATAAGACAACCCCCTAATTTTTACAGTTAAAACATAGGTTTAGGCCTATATTCGCTGTATAAGACTACCCCCCACTTCAAAGAAAACACTTACTTTGCCGTCAAGATCTGCAGGTAATTTTTGTGCAATTTTGGTCTTTTGCCCCTGATTTTTGGTTGACTTTTTTTCGTTTCAAAAGTCGTCTTATACGCCGGAAAATAAGGTATTTGTGTTGTCCGTGGCTTAGCAAAGATCCATCGTTTCAAAAGGGCTAGTGACTTCCATGTTTAAAGTTAGAAGGAAAATATTTAGATATAACCTAACTAGAGAAAAAGTAATTTGCTGGATTGAGTAAACAGCAGCGTTTTGTTTGTTGAGAATTTTTTTTCACCTTGTTTGAAAAGTACACATGATTGTCATCTGGCTGTAGGTTCTGCTTGACCCCACCCACACCCCCAAAGTGGTTCAAGCTCTATGCAGCAAGAAATTTGAGGCAATTAAAATTTATTTTTATGACAGTCAGGATCAAGAAGTAAATGTGATGGGATTATTTTGTAGTTTATAAACAAGTTCTTATCCAGTTGCCAGCAAATTAGCCAAACCTGTAGGATAATCAGCCTTGTAGTGTAATTGTATAATGAGTTCTTAGTATGTAATAATTTACTTTCGGAAATTTAAGATTTGAGGACAAACTTCCTCTTTTTGATTAGTTTAGCTTTTATTTGTTTATAATTTGGTTCCAAAAGATATGGGTGAGTAGATTAAATTAGAGCATCAGTACATAATCTTACTTAAACTATGTCTTAACACATATTTCTGGCTCAGTTACACTAAAAAAAATTACAAACTATATGAAATATCCTTTTAAAATTACAAAAAATGCTACTTCTAGAGCTAGAGAGAGTTCATTGTTAAGTGCTTAGAAAACTCTGAATGTATTTAATGCGGTGATAAATTAGATCTTCCATGAATTACATCTTACATTTCACAGCGGTGAGGAATGGTAGTTCGCAAGCTTCCCAAGTTTTGCCAATAGGGTAAAGAAACTTAATTCTTTCTAAATTTCTGTTAGTATGGTAAAGACTGTTCTTTGCTTATAGAGTTTGAAGGATTTTCTAGAATTTCTTAATGAAAAAAATTATGGAAGAGTTGTCATTAAATTCCTATCAGAGCTGATTTTTTTTAGACTTCTTAGTTAGATATGTATAGTCATTTTGAAGCTTTTACAGTATTTTAGATAGGAAAGAATCTTTTTAAAATATATTTTATTGATTTTTTTTACAGAGAGGAAGGGAGATAGAGAGTTAGAAACATCGATGAGAAACATCTCAGTTGCCTCCTGCAAACCCCCTACTGGGTGTCTGCAACCCAGGGAATGCCCTTGACCAGAATCTAACCTGGGACCCTTCAGTTCATAGGCCGACACTCTATCCACTGAGCAAAACTGGTTAGGACAGAAAAGAATCTTTAAAACAAAATTTGTTTCAGCCTTAGCCAGCTTGGCTCAGTGGATAGAGCATCAGCCTGTGGACTGAAGGGTCCCGGGTTCGATTCCAGCCAAGGACACAGGCCTGGGTTGCAGCCTCGATCCCCAGTGGGGGTTGTGCAGGAGGCAGCTGATCAATGATTCTCTCTCATAATTGATGTGTCTATCTCTCTCTCCCTCTCCTTTCCTCTCTGAAATCAATAAAGAAATATATATTTTTTAAAATTGTTTCATAGCTGAGCCATGTATGCAGTAGTTTCTGACTTTGGCACTAATTAACTGATCTTATTTTATTGACACCAAGAAAGAATATAAAAGATGTATGAAAATTTATTTGATAGTTGAGTTACAAGATTCTATTATCACATATTATAATTACTTGGTATTGTATAATTAGTTAAAACTGGCAAGCATGTTTATTTAGAAAGAAAGCTTTGTTGTCTATTAAGGGTACTTTTTTTTTTTTTTAAAGCTTCCCTTACTGTGTATACTTTTTATATATACATAGTGAAACTTGACAGATTAAGATACTGGTGAAATAGTTTCAGAGATATAGTTACTGTAAAAAGTCATCTATTTGACCTCATAAAAGAGTAGTTGACTATGAAGTATCATTTTCTTAATGGAGATTATTTTAGCACAAATATAAAAACATTAAAAGAAGTGAATGACTAGTGCACTTTTATTTACTATAATATAAACATCCAGGCATATAAATGTCAGCTTGAATGAATGCTGTTAATAAAGAGGATTAGACTCATTATAAAAGAAGAATAACTGACTTCATATAAAAATGACAACTTTACATAGTTTCTGCAGGTTTAGATTTACTGGTTTTTGGAGATGTGTAGAGATTTACTAGAGGGCTAGTATCAATAGTTTATACATGGCAGTATTGATAACAATGGGTATAACTCTATGCCATTACCCAGTAACGTGTAAACCAGTCTGTGACTTAACAGGACTGAACATTGGACTTCTTTTGCTTGACCTCCTAGAAGATGAATAGAAAGTTTACTTTACATCTAGTTTCTAGCTCCAGAAGTGATCCTAGCATAAAAACTGGAGCTACTGGAACATTTTGTCTTGGCAAGGACTATTACTAGGTTGTGTTTTTTAATGGTTTTATGGCAATTTTAACTTTCTAAAAGCTGCCCCACCTAATCCTTAGACTCTTAAATTCTCATTTAAATTTGTAGTTGAACATAATCACTTTTTGACAATTTAAAGCACTGTTCGCTGTTTTTCTAGTTCAACTATCCCTTTAAATCAACTAAATCTTATGTCCCCATTATACACAGAGAAGTATATTGTGGTCATTGTCTTGGGATAGGTTCACCTATATTTGGTATCAGAGCTGAGGGAGATTTTATTTACAGAAAATCAATAATCAATAATTTGTATTTTGGAATTTTTAAATAAAGCTTTCTACAAGGCTTCCCTAGACTTAATATATTTGCCATTTTCCTTGAAGAACATTTCTACTGTTCTGTAAACTGCTAAATTGTGTTCGTTGACTTAATCAACAAACATTTATTGAGCATCTCTTGGATGTCATGCACCGTGCAGGGCGCTGAGGACTCAGAAGGGGTGCCAACATTGGGTATTTGAAAGCTAAGCCAGGGCTATATTCTCTTCTTAGAAATGAGTGTAATACGGACATCATGAACTCACCAGGTGTTTCATGCTGCACTCCAGGACAGGGAGAAGTTCCATGTCTGCAGTCACACGGCCTGGATGGAGTCCCAGCTCCCCTCCCTCAGCTGTTTTACTTCACTCTAGTTTACTTAATTTGTCTGAGCCTTAGCGTTCTGAGGAGTAAAGTAACAGTAACAGTGGCATCTGCCTTATAGGGTTGTTAGGATTAAATGAGGTAAAGTACTTAGCACAGTTTCTGTCACACAGTAAATAAGAAAAATGACAACCATGAAGATTATTGTTATTTACTTAGCACTAGACCCTGTTTGGTTTATAATTTGGTAGATGTAGGCTCTAAGGAAATAGTAGTTGTTTGGTATTAATGTGGAGATTTGACTCATTTTTGTCCCCAATGGCTCTCAAAACTAGAACATCTGTGTAACTCGTAAAATTTTCCTTTTGGCTTTATTGCATTAGAACTTCCAGCAATGCTCCCCCGGGCCCCTCATGCATCTAAGAATCTGATGCTGATGCCAACGAGGAAGGCTCAGCGGGAATGGACAACTGTGTGCCTATTGTCTGGGATTAGAAGGAACTATATCTGGGATAAGCATGAATACAGGTGTATTCATGTGGTTCATGTCATGTGAATATTTTGTAAATAAAGATCTGAAAGACCATATAGAGAGATTCACTTATTTATGAATCTTGGGCCATTGTAAAAGAAAAGCTAAATGGGAAATGTTACCTGATTCTACTGGTCTTGTCATGTGTCCGATGTACTGCAAAGCCAAAAGGAAATCTGATAGATGGATGGTGATGATGGTGGCGATGGTGCTGACGCCACAGAAAGATGAGCCTCTGTGTTCTGCGTTGGCCTTTGCAGGGATGCCCACATCCTGTCGCAGAAGCTCTCTCCCTTGTACTCTCTCATCCTGTACTCTCTTCTGCTCATGCTCATACATTCTTCATAGCAATAAAAGTAGCAGTTCTTTAGGCATGCTCTTAGTTCTGAAAATCAAATTTTAAAATATATTTTAACCAATATGTATAAAATGGCAAATTATTTTTCACACAACAAATAATATCTTTGATTTTTGAATTAAGCCTCTTCTCCCCCATAGAAATCATCTTCCAAATGAGAGCTGGGATTTGGGTTGTAGTGGGCTCTGAGTTAGGTGAAAGTGTGGCTAGAATTTAGTATGCAAGCACTTTAAGTACACTTACTGAGCTGAGATCATAGATCTGGGGCTGGTAACAATAGAATGTGCATTTTGTTGCACTTACAATGAATTCATTTTTTTACATAATATCACCTAATTACTAGAACAAGTTCTGTGTTAGGCCAATTGGCACATGGAGGTATTCTCATTTATAAATGGTTGCTTTGTGCATTCAGTTCTGACATAGTTAAGAAAAAGAAAAAAACACAATTGAGCTCTAAATAACTAAAAATCTTTAATCTTTTCCCCCCACTCAAGAGCTTAAACTTTAAGGTAGGAAAATAATAAAAGAAGTTCTTAATGGATATTTAAAGGGATGTCCACGAATTTCTAGGATGAGTTTTTGGAGTTGGCATGTAATACTCTACTTTCCTAAAATTTTTATAATATTTATGTACATTGTTATTTACTTATTTCGACTGTACCTTTCCGAAGATTAAGGAAACATAAAATATAAGAATCAAACTTGAAGTAGCTGGGAGAAAAAGAGGGGATAAGAAGGTTAGGGACATGAA